TGTGTGTGTGTGTGTGTGTGTGTGTGTGTGTGTGTGTGTGTGTGTGTGTGTGTGTGTGAGAGAGAGAGAGACACGGTTGAATAACTGGAAACCCTCAAAATTGGAGCACTGATGGACACGCTACTCAAGCATCGACAGAGGGATTGAGCACATTATGCAATGTTGTGTGTCTGTGTTTGTTTACATGTCTTTATTGTTTGCTTGTGAGCATATATATGTGAAAGACAAGAGAGAGATGGAAAAAAAGGGAAGAAAAAAACAGCCAGTAGAACAGAGAGAAAGCCGTCTCTCATCTTTTTCCTGTTTTCCTCTTCCTCTTTGAATCCTGCACCATTTTTTTTATCACAAGTGTGCGTGTGTGCCAACAGCTCCTGTTGTCTTTGTCCAATCTAAATGTGCTCCAGCACCTGTCTTTATGTGTATTAGTTCATTTCAACTCCATCCCTATTTACAGTCTGTTATTTTGTGTGTGTTTTTTTAAATCCCCACGAGTCAGATCTTTAGAGTATCAGTAAGGTTTTGTGTGAATTTCATTTTTGTGTAAAAGCATCTTAAGGCTATTTGTGTAAAAAGAAAAAGTGGGGGAAGAACATCTGTCTTTCTACACAACTTCCTTTCATCACGTCGTTGCTGTTGAACTGCATCTTTTTTATGTTTAAAAGGGGGAAAAAACACACAAATCGTGCATGATCCGACCATGTTTCCAGATCTGTTGTGTAAATACCCTTTGTGAGGAAACCTGTACAGTTCTATAACTGTTCATATTCACGGTACTGTGTGTCCGTCCAGGTCTGCACACACTCACACACACACACTGAAAACACACACAGTCCCTGAAATTCAATCCAACATTGTGTGTACAGCTTTCTTTTGTTTGTTTGTTTCCATAGCCCTGTGACAAGTCATCAGCAAAAAAGAGCTGAGTTATTATATTTTATTTAAATATATATGTGTATTTGTAAAAAAACTAAAAAAAACCTCAATTATGTTTTTTGTTCCATTTTTTCCAAATGATTTTATCTCAATTTGTTTATTCAATTAAGAATATGTGGATTTTTTTTCGAATATTTGCAAAGCATCACGTTTTTTTATGATTTGAAGCTGTATTTTTTACAACTTAGTTTGATTAGGTTTACACAGTTTTATGCAGTACAAACAATGCATTTCTAATATTCTGCCTGTTCAGAAAAATCTTCCTGATTTCTGCTCTTTAATCCTTCCAAAGAGCCACGCTTGATGCTCCTTGCTGTCAAAAAAGAATCAGATGTTGTTCATGTTGATTTGTTAAAGACGATGCACTGCCGCACTGGGATGGTTTTCATTCCCTACAAAGTGTGTAAAAATAACCTTTCACAGAATCACAAATGATGCTTATTTTGCAACGCGCTTTGTACTTCCTGGTTGCTGACGTGGGGAAATGAAGTTGGGGAAGAGACGATGGTTAATATTGTAAAATAAAACATTAAAAGTGGGGGACACGGTTGAAAGTGTGGGGGTGGGAGGGGGGGTTGTACATAGTGTAAATGACAAATAGAGACATGTTAACAGAAATGTATTCATTTCCTCCGGTGGGAGTGTGCATAGTGTATTTAGAATTTGTAAAGCTTGCATCCTCCTGTCAGACATTGAGTTGGGAAATACCGTCTGTGTTCGATTGCCTCTCTGACCATGCCTGTTCATTTCTGTAAGATACGTAATGTAACCCCTCTGTTGTAGGGGTGGTTCAAGAAAAGAAAAAAAAAAGATAATTTTGCTCTTCGTAATATCAAATCCTCTGTGTATTTCACTATTACCTGTGTACTTTCTAAAGGTGCTACAAAATAATTACAACCTTTTGAGGTAAAGAATTTGGGACTTGGAGACACCAAGCCTCAGCTGGCTTGTCTCTGAATTTACAGTTTGTACACAAAAAAATACTAAAGAGATTTTGTCAAATTTATAATTTTTATGGAATTTGGCAAATGTGCTATAAAGGTACAATCTGATGTGATTGGCACACGTGACAATTGTCCTATTTGTTTTTTTGTACATTCTGTGTACAATCATTTCATATTCTAAACTGGTCAGAAGAACATTGTGATTTTTAGTCTTGCAAATCTGTATGTAGTTAGATGATGTGACATCCTAATATTTATCTAATAAATATGTATTCAGATGAAACAATACATGGATTTTGTCCTTTTTCCCTCTCGTGAAGTGCGGTTTGTGTACTCCTCAAAATGCTGTAAACCAAATATGTAAAAGGTGCCATAGATCTTGTGAAAATTTGCAGAGAAACTGAAAAAAAATGCTTTATTTAGAGGAGAACGTACACGTGGAGATAATCAAACAAAGATCATCTTATTTTTTAAATGATAAATTTTTCATCTTTAGGTCAAAACTTTAAACTTTATGCACAATCACGGTGTCTTACATTAAAAAAACATACTAAGTTAAGTTTTTATGTGTATTAATCTGGCCAGTTTTCAATAAATTGGTTTAATTGTTAAAAGATCAACTAGAACTTCTAAAAGCCCCGGTTCAAACAAACGCACACCACAAACACAAATAGTTGTGTAGTTTTAATCTCCTGCCACATGGTGTCGCTGTTTAACCCAACGCGGTTCACGTCCCTCTGACGTCAGACGTCAACACGGCAGCGTTCGCGGACGGTAGGTTGTTAAAGCGATGATACAACTAAAGAATCGCTTGAGATATAGCTCGCTGGGTATTTCTACTGCCAGGTTGATCTCCTCCGGACCTGAAAAGAACTCCGTGGTGTTTCTGGACATCGAGGCCGACGGTGAGCCTCTAGGACGGATAACCATCGAGGTAGCCGCTAAAGTAGCCGCTCACTCAGACATTGACAGCGACCTTGAACTCACCATTTTCATCTGTCTGTGTTCTGTCTTACAGCTGAATTCAGATATTGTACCAAAGACCGCAGGTGAAAAATCTCCAACGATGAATATATTGTGTAATATATTTCCGGTTTGTTAAAAATAATAATAATAATAATCCAAGTTTAAATGAACAGAAAACTTCAGAGCTCTGTGCACAGGGGAATATGGCTTTGGATACAGAGGCTGCGTGTTTCACAGAGTTGTCCCGGACTTCATGTGTCAGGTTATGATACACACTCATAAAATGATGTAAAGCGTTGCAGAGGGGCTTATTTTTATTTTTATTTTATTTTATTTTTCCCCACACAGGGAGGAGATTTCACTAACCACGACGGAACAGGAGGGAAGTCGATATACGGGAAGTCATTTAAAGATGAAAACTTCAAATTAAAACACTCCGGACCAGGTAAAAATAAAAAATAAATTGACCCTCTGATTGCGTTCCAACACGTCTCCACTAGATGGCAGTGTCTGATCTCATACAGCAAATCAATAAGACTTCATCCTCGTGATGAGAATGACCTACTTTTTGGAGTCAACATGCACAAATCAAAAGTTTTTTTTTCTTGCTTTTTTATTAATTAATTTTTCTACATGTATTTTTTTTTCTGCGCCTCATTTTGTTTTGTGTCAAAGAAGAGAAACAAGTTTTTGGGAGAACATATTTCTCAATCTGTAATGTGTTTGTTGAGGTGCAGCCAGGCCTAAAAGTCATGAAGTCAGGATTTAACTGAAAATGAACATTAAGGTTTTCGCGTGTGTTCAGGAACGCTGTCGATGGCAAATTCTGGACCAAACACAAACGGCTCGCAGTTCTTCATCTGCACGACTAAAACAGAGTGGTAAAGTGTCACCTGCCTCCATCACAGATCATTATACCTCACTGCTGGACACTGTTGTTTTTGCATGTCTTTGTCTGTTAGCAAAGTATCTCATAAACCACTGGACAGATTTGAATGAAACTCTCAAAAAGTAATTACGGGATGTTTATCTATAACTGATTAAAATTTGGACTCTGTCACATTTAAGTTGGACACCACAGCCAACTCTTCTTAAAAAACACAAAAAAGGCTACAATTCAGTCAATTTTACGGATATTGTGCTAAAATTTGGCGTGATAGTATCTCAGAGTCATCTCCAACATGTGTTTGTGTGCTATTGATTTGCACAATATCTTTGGTTCAAAACCTATTAAATGTTGAAGTCGACACTTTTTGTCTGTTAGCACAATACCTTATGAATCACTTGATGGATTTTAATGTAACTTTCACAAAGTAATCTCTGGATCCTCAACTTCAAGAGATTAACTTTTGGAGGTGGTCCTATTCAAGATGGCCACCACAGCTAACCAAATTTAGCCAACACAAAATAGGCTGCATTTCAGTCCATTTAAAAGATATTAAGCTAAAGTTTGGTATTGTTGTAGCTGAGAGTCATTCACAACACAAGCTCTGAGATGTAATGAGTTTGCGCATAATGCTTTTTGAAGGTTTGACCAAAACGCCTGTAACAAAATGAGAGTTTAAAACACTGCCATGACAGGTTACAGTTTGCCTGAAGGAATATGCTGAGGTTTTTATTTTGTTGTGTTTTGCGTTGGGCAGGCTCGACGGTAAACACGTGGTGTTCGGGCAGGTAAAGAGCGGGATGGACGTGGTCATGAAGATGCAGTCTTTTGGTTTACACGACGGGGGCGTGGTCAAGAAACTAGTCATCGCTGATTGCGGGGAGATCAGATAACTTCTGAAACCAGCTCAGTGTGCAAGAGTCTGAACATTTCCTGTGTCTTCCTTTCCATATCTATGCATGGATCAGTGGCCATAGTAAAATGTGAAATATTTGCACTTTTAAAACCGTTGCATTGTCTGTTTGAAAAGAAATCTGTCCCTGGAGAAAACACGGTTGTAAAGTGTTGAATTATTGGCTCACAGTTATTGCACTTTATTTTATTTTTTTACTATCACACACCTTTTTCAGTTTATTGTGGCTATCCCAGTGTTTTGTCCAGTTTTGGCTTAAAGTTTAACAATTTTTATATTATGTAGAAAAATGTATCTTTTTAATCTTAAATTTTATGCATCATGCCGTTTATTTATTTATTTTTTCTGTTCCACTGCCTGCCAAATAACTGAGCGTTTGAAGGTTTTTTACGAGCTCCGGTTTGAAGACAGGACATTTGCTCTCTTGTGCCACCAGCAAGCCCTGCTGGGTTTTAAAAAACGCTTCCTGGAAACCATCCAGCAGCTTATTTTAGCCCCACGCTCCAGTGCAAAGGACTTCCTGTCCATCAGAGCAGGATGTCACATCCACCTACATGAATCCAGCCAACAGATGATGCACATGTGGCCCTATAGGCTCCGTCAGCGCAGATGATTTAAACTCTGGAAATCCACACAGGAACCTGAAAATGTCTTTAGTTTTGCACGTAGGCTTTTTTTCTTCCATTTTTTTTCTGGTTCTTTCCTGGAAACTCTGAGCATCTTGAAGGGAGCGAGCAGAGGGCCGGGGGGCACGTCCGAAGGCCAAGGAGTGGGTGGTGCTGCTTATCATTCTAATACTTTATGGAGCGCTGTGAAAAGAGGCAGCTCATGCCCCTAAATGAAAGCATATGAGTCCTGACCTTCCATCGTTTGTTTGAATTCTCGGATTACATCGTTGCTATAACGACTTTTTTTTTTTTCAGCTCGCACTCAGTTTGAGCTCGAGATGTTGTAACAAAACTTGATATAATTTGGGTCCACACCCTCTCGTTTGGTTTTAGTTATTTGGACTCCATGTCCAACGCTGTAGCATGGAAACTTGGCCGGAAAACGACAGCGGCGCTGCGGCCAGAGTTACACACGTTAAAAACGACGACATCTTTACTGCTGCTACGAGCTTTTTGTTATAATTTTTTTTTCTTTAAAACGTCTTCGTTCATCAACTGACACTCATGTCAACTGGTGTCCTTTTTTTTATGTTTTGGTGTTTCTGTCCCACAGTTGGGACTGAAAAGTGTTGAAATGAAGGTCTGGCAGCTTTATGTGTTTGTTATCTTTCAGCACGTTCAGGGAATGTGAGGGGGGGGAAATTTTTTTACATGGCTCTCCCTCCCTTCTGTGTTACACAATCTGCATGGATAACCCATTCTTTAATCGTCTGTAGGGTCAGTTTTGTGGGACTTTAAGATTACATTAAAAGATTTACCCTTTAAAAGAAAAACTCCACAGGCAGTGGAGAGAAACACTGAGCAGTTTTTTTGGCTGAAATCAGACAAGAGAGAACAAAACAAATGACGCCACACGTTCTGCGCAGTAATAATTCCATTAAACTTTTTTTTATTATTATTATTATTCACCAAACTCTCAACAGCACTAAAAAGATTTCCCATCTAACAAATAATAAGGCACATTTTGGAATGCCGTTTCATGGACATGAAAAACAGACCTGTGGTGAACTCTCTAAGCCCCGCCCCCTCCCATCCCCACATCTTTGTTTCCCAAAAATCAGTTTGCCTCACGTCTGAGTTCAGTCCAATTCAAACCGTTACACAATTGCAGTAATGCACGACAAACATCTCAAAAGATACACAGAAAGAAAAGAAACTTTCCAACTTGACCACAGAAGTGTTAACATATTACAGTCATATAGGTGTTACTCGTAGGGGGCTACACTCGTAGTAAAATGAAACACTTTTAGGACTAATACAAGCCGCTTATGATGACGTTAAAAAACAATAGCTACTGTAGCCAACTTAAGGATTTAAATAGGTATACATTGCACAAAAAAACAACAAAATATATATCATTCAAACACATGCACATGCAAACTCTAAAACAGTTCTTTGTCACACGCTTTCCTGACAAAAGTATACACGTCCTAATCTACGTCTAACGTTTTAAAATAGTTCCTTGTCAAGGCTGCTTTAGGCAAACTACATCTCACAGTTTAATGTGCAGTGGTGCGGATCCATCACAAGTTATAATAATATAAAAAAAAAGTATTTCTGCATGTTAACACAATATATTTCCTTACTTGTTTACAAAACGAATACATGCGACTGTATGGATGTAAATGGCAGCAAATAGTTAGTCACATAGCAACTAGAAGAAAAAAAAAAGAAACAAAACATGGGTTATTTAACACTGATAATAAAACTGGAAAAATACAATAAATGAGAGGGTATTCATTATGTACCAGTTTTATATATATATATATATTTATATTTATAATACTCTATGTCGACATCAATATTTCCTTCCTTAGTGTAACTGTTGCATATTCTATACAAAAAAAGTGATGGAAAAAAAGTCTTTCCATAAATATTTCTGCAGGATAACCCTTCAGATATTTGTAAAACGAAGACAAAACAACTCCCAGCTTTGATTATTTCTCAGCAATAGGCCCTTCTTCATAGACGAGAGAGAGAGAGAGAGAGAGAGAAAAAAAACCAGCTTTAATATTGCTAACACTGCTGAAAATTATGGCCATCAAATATATACATAAAATGATCTCGGATAGGGAAATAGCTCAAGGCTGCAGATTGCTTTAGAAATTTTAACATCTATGGTGTGTCCCAAAATACACATCTCATTCAAAGAAAAAAAAAAGCAAATTTGAACTGTAAAGGTACAAAAAAGACAAATGTTTAACTCAAGACACAACATTTAGAACTTTGTTTTATGGATTTTCTCAACTCATCTATGAGTTTTGAGTTGCCATTTAAAACAGCTTTGCTGTTCTATTTCTCTGGGTGGAATCCAACTTTTCCTAAACGCTTTAACATGGTTACCTCAGAGTTTATAAGGCATCACTGGTATCTGTTCCTGTTTAAACAGCCACACATATGATGTGGACATAATCCTGTGACACTAACAGAAAGGTGATAACAGTAAGACAAATGGATTTTTCTCAACACTGGCAGACGTAAAATACACAAGTGCCAAATTTGTAAAGGGGCACTCCACAAACATTTAATGGACGGCACTTTAAAAATGTTTCTTTTTTTATTTTGTGTATGTACAGCTGTTAGCCGTAAATGTCTTGCCTGCAGTCAACTCATGGAGGAGTCAAGCTAACAAATCCACAAAGCAGAACCTGGACAACAGTGAATTTCTGCCACAAAAAGCCCAGTTTACACTGCGTCCGATCTCTGCAGTAAAAACATCCATTGCCAATAAGAGCATTTACACTGCATCCGGTCTCCGCAGTAAAAACATCAATTGCCAATAAGAGCATTTACACTGCATCTGATCTCCGCAGTAAAAACATCCATTACCAATAAGAGCATTTACACTGCATCCGGTCTCCGCAGTAAAAACATCAATTGCCAATAAGAGCATTTACACTGCATCCGATCTCTGCAGTAAAAACATCCATTGCCAATAAAAGCATTTACACTGCATCCGATCTCTGCAGTAAAAACATCCATTGCCAATAAGAGCATTTACACTTCATCTGCATGGTGGTGGCGTGAGATTTGATCCTATTTTTATCAAATGGTGGAGCAAATGTGGAGTCAATCTACAAAGATCACACTGCACCAGCAGGAAAAGGAATGAACACGATATCCATATTTTCAATATATTTCACCAAAGGCAGATTCTAGCAACATTGATACATATATGGGTATGCTGTATATGCTGTCAATATTTATCATTCTGTATGAGAAGAGATGGCAACATGAAACAGATGCATACACACACAACGTGTGGGTTTTATTTTTAAAAATTTGTATGCAATGAAAGACAACAGTGATGCTGTTTCAATCGTTTCCATTTAGTCTTCCACAGAATAGAATTACTGACCTACTGATAGAGTTTTATTGGATTTATTAAACTTCTTAAGGTGTTTCAAATAAAGTCTTGAGGTACGTGACAAATTTATTATTCATCATGGCGTGTCCACAGACTGTTTTAAGCAGAGCTAGTAAGACAAAACAAGTCTGTGTTGTTTTTACTATTATTCACATATTAAACCCCAGCAACAAGTGTTTTGATTGGTCCCTATGCCTATGACAAACCACATAACTGATTTCTGATTTGTTGTTAACATTGTATGACCTCATTTTCTACGTGTCTGAATAAAACGACTGTTCACGCCCCCAGAGGGCAGAATTTCTCTGATCTTCACCAAGGCTCTTGAGCTAAGTATCATTGAACTTCTCCTTTGCAAAGTGAATCTATAAATCTTACTGGTCTCTGGTGTCATTGATTAATGTTCGGCCGGGCTTGTGTGGTTTCTTTGAGTTCCTAGGTTAAAAAACCGAACACCTACATATTTTATTTTATTTTATTTTACCGTTATTTAACCAGGCAAATCCCATTGAGATCGCAGATTTCTTTTGCAACGGAGGCCTGGAGGCAGCTTATTGTACATACAGTATCTTTGGAGTGTGGGGGAAACCAGAGTACCCGGAGAAAACCCACGCAAGCACGAGGAGAACATACAACCTCCGCACAGAAAGACCCCAGGTCCGAAGAGGGGATTGAACCCAGGACCTTCTTGCTGTGAGGCGACAGTGCTAACCACTGAGCCGTCGTGCCGATTTACATATTTATCACTGGCTTTACTGCACAATCTCGAATTTCCTGCACGTGCTTCTCAGAGCACCTCTGTGCTTTGCTCCGGAGTGGAGCGGACGCAGTGTAAATGAATGAATGCCTTTATTTGTCATTGTACAGAGCACAACGCAATTTCATTTCAGAACAACCGCATGCAGTGAAATCCGGGGTAAAACAGACCTTAAAAATTTCTTAGCAGCTGTCACTGCTGCAGGGAAGAGCTGCCGTTGTTTTCTTCATCCAAACAGTGTCTGTGCTGCTGAGCATAATTACACACACAGAGGCTGCTGAACATATCCTGCTACCGATCCATTATGGTCTAATCCCAAAACAAAGATACAGGCAGTAAAACTGAATGTGTGTGACGTCAAAGAGTGACCAAACTGCCTTTTCTAGGAAAGGAAGGTATTATGTGCCAGATTATACAGAGGAAGAGTTGTTAAAGAGAAAGAATAACTCCTGGAGGACTCTGCTGATCAAAGCTAGCTAGACAGCAGCCACAGGGCATGCAGTTAGCATAGCAACACAAAATTATTCTGGTAAGAATTTAGCTTTAATTGTCTCATCAAAAAGCCAGCTGTTTATGGTGTAAAACTACATGTTCTCTGCTCAGAACATTTCGATTAGTTTTAGACTGCAGAAATTCACTCTTGAATGAGCTCTGATCTGTTAGGGACTTTATTATAGTTGACACATCCGTGAGAATTTCTCAGATTCCCCAAACTATCCCTGCCTTCATGATTTTCTCAAGCCAAACAATGGAAACAAAAAAACAACAACTTGATGATGCCATAATGGTGTCACATAAATTATCCCAGTTTGAGCTAAGAGACTCATAAAAAACGACGACTGGATCATCATAAATTATATCATTTTAAAACCATTGGCCACACCTGACATTTATAGGGTTCGAGTGAACATCACCAAGAACAGGTGGGATTCATCCTTTTGGTCAGTTCCCATTTATAGGTGGTCTGCCCTTTAAATGCAAATGACCACATGCTTTCTTTATCCTGGGTTACGATGAAAAGACCACCTAAATACGTCCTTAACTGGCATCGGCTGTGTAAGCTCCACGTTTCTAGCCTATGAGTCAGGTGGACTGTTGCCTGTAGCTGGTTAAAATGACTGCAGACAAACAGAAATTATGTAGGTATTTGTTTGCGTTTAAGGCCGGCAAGTGAGGTTGTATAATGTTTTATTGCCAGTTATTACCTAGTGTACTTTGATCTATACATATGTGATTGAATCACCCAAAACACAAGTTAATGTCAGGGGTGACTTCAACTTTAACCAACCAAGGTGGTTTATGAAAGATGTCATTAAGGCACTATAAGAAATACTTTAAGTCTCCATTAGCAATCTCAGGCTCCGACAAATACACTCCTGATCGAAATTTTAAGACCAGTCAAAAAAGTGCAAGAATTTGCATTTTGCACTATTGGATCTTAAGAAGGTTCTAAGTAGAGCTTCACAATGTTAAAAGAAGAAATCAGTGCAAGAGACAAGAACTTTTGAGCAGGGAATTGTCTGAAAGCTGCATTTACACTCAAACATGATTTTTTCAGCTGATCAAAAGTTTAAGACCATTGCTCAAAAAAAACAACAACCTGAAAACCCCCAAAACAGAAATCAAAGTGTCAAAAAATGGACTCAGTAATGAGTAGCTCCACCATTCTTGTTGATGACTTCAAACAATGGTTTAGGCATGCTTGATGCCAGTGCTTCCAGGAGGCTAGTGGGAACGTTGCTCCAAGTGTTGAAGATGGCTTCATGAAGGGCATCCACTGTCTGGAACTGATGTCCATTTTTGTAAACTTCCCTTGCCATCCATCCCCAAATGTTCTCAGTTGGGTTTAGATACGGGGAACAAGAAGAAAGGAAGAAAAAAAAAAAGTTATTTTTTTTTTAGAACTCCTTTGTCAGGCGGGCGCATTGTCCTGTTGAAAAACCCAATCATTACCACACAGACGAGGGCCCTCAGTCATGAGGGATGCCCGCTGCAACATCTCCACATAGCCAGCTGCTGTTTGACGCCCCTGCACAACCTGAAGCTCCATTGTTCCATTGAAGGAAAACACACCCCAAATCATGATGGCGCCCCCACCACTGTGCCGTGTAGAAAACATCTCAGGTGGGATCTCCTTGTCATGCCAGTAACGTTGGAAGCCATCAGGACCATCAAGGTTACATTTTTTCTCATCAGAGAAGACAACTTTGTTCCACCTTTCAGTGTCCCATGTTTGGTGCACCCTTGCAAAGTCCAAACGGGCAGTTTTGTGGCGTTGAAGAAGACATGGCCTTTGAAGACGTTTTTTGTTTCTGAAGCCCTTCTCTCACAGATGCCGTCTGATGGTTACTGGGCGGCAGTCAGCACCAGTAATGGCCTTAATTTGGGTAGAGGATCGTCCCGTGTCTTGACAGACAGCCAATCGGATCCTGTGGCTCAGAGCTGGTGAAATGTTTTTGGGTCTACCACTTGACTTTTTTGTTCCGTAACCCTCAGGATCATTTAAAAAATGCAAAATGACTGTCTTACTGCGTCCAACTTCAGCAGCGATGGCCCGTTGTGAGAGGCCTTGCTTATGCAGCTCAACAATCCTACCACGTTCAAAGTCAGTGAGCTTTTTTACTTTTGCCATCAGGAGGTCTTGACAGTGTAAAGACTTGACAGAAAATGACATGGAATCCAGATTTTTGCACAGCTTTTGGCTTTTAAAGACTATGGTCTTAAACTTTTGATCAGCTGAAAAAATCATGTTTGAGTGTAAATGCAGTTTTCAGAAAATTCCCTGCTCAAAAGTTCTTGTCTCTTGCACTGATTTCTTCTTTTAACATTGTGAAGCTCTACTTAGAACCTTCTTAAGATCCAATAGTGCAAAATGCAAATTCTTGCACTTTTTTGACTGGTCTTAAGATTTTGATCAGGAGTGTACATAAAGGTTTATAAGGCATTTGATTCACGCATCTTTAGTGTTGAGCCTCCAAGTGGAACAGTAGAAATAAATCACAGGAGTGCCCTTAAAACAGCTGGTTACATTTCAACATGCTGTAATGCACCATACGGCTCCGAACACATCAAGTAATCATGTACTTTTTGACAAAACCCTACAGTTTCCTGGGGGGAAAAAACGTATCTACAACAGAAAACTAATGAAACGTCCACACAATCTCAAAAAAGGTCCAAAATCTCAAAAATCAGCTTCATTCTGTGGCGACAATCCACTAAGAAATCCCATCTTTGTTGATATTCCATGACAACGGACCGCAGTAGGATTGTTATTGGCAGCTGGAAACGCTGGTTCAGCTTTCAGCTCAGCAGACGGCATCAAAGCAGAGCTCTATCATACCAGCTCGACCACTAATAGAGGAGCTAAATCATTTTCTTGTCCTTTGTCACATCTTGAGCCTACATTAAACGTTCTATGCATCTCAGTTACCACATGCACATACTCTGCTCCTCCTCTGAGCTATTCAACATATCAGAAACTTTACATCGACACTTTAAATCTGCACACTTGACATTCTGTAAGGCACATAAAGTATGTTACAGTATAAAATATAATCAACCTGCTTGGTAAATGCTTTAAATACAGTACGTATGAAAGTTCACAAGTTGTATAAAAAGGATCTTTAAAAAGGCAAATTTCATTATCTCTAAGTTAAAATCATTTCAGCTGTAGTGCTTAAGAAATTTACAATGATGTACATAAACACAAAGTGTCTACTTCTTCCATATTTCTCATTTTGAATTTGTTTAGTGGGCACCATAAAAACTTACTGTAGGCATACTCAATTAACCATCATTTTTAGTTTATCTACAATTCCTCAGAATCACGTTCACAAACCAGACTTTCTATACAAAATTTATTTCTTTCACTTAACAAACCTGAAAGCTAAATCTCCACAGTTTCTTCAAGCTTACCCTCCGTTAAACACTCCTCACGTTGCAGTGAGCTGCTGGACATTAACTGGAAGGTGGCACTTCATGGAAATTTTTTTATTTTACTTTTAACTCTGCCAGAAATCCTCAAATGATTTTCTATCACTTTACATACTCGTCAAAACCTGATTAGGTTTAACATTAATAATTGAACTTTTCATATGTTAAAGGCCCTGTCACACTGTTATGTTTAAGACAACTTATGCCGACATCTGCAAATTTTGCCCAACATGCTGTGCTGAGAATAAAGTCATAATAATTCAAGAATAAAGTCATTGTATTACCAGAATAAACTTACAAGACTTTATTCTTGTAATATTATGACTTTATTCTTGTAATTAAATATAATAATAATGTCTAAGTCTGGCCCTAATACTCAGTTGTAGATTTTGGTCAATAATTTTAACTACATGTTGCTATTTGTAGGTTTCTAAACTTTTATTTCACAGCTAGTGCTGATCTTTGTTTCTTCATTCTACTCTTTGCACTGAAAACAGATCAAACACCTGCTGCACATAGATATTGATTTTACAAACAGAATGTTTACTATAAAAATACCATGCAGCTGTTACCCTGTAGCATAGTTTTTCTTGGTTGACCCTTACTTTTGGTGTAATCTACAGTAACACAATTTAGGAAAATTGCATATTTGTAAAGCAACAAAATACTAAAGAGCTTAACGTAGTTGTTGCTGTCAACTTTTTTGTCTAATTTCAACTGAGGAACTACTCTCTGCAACTGAACCTACAGTAGTTTCTGGATACACATGGAAGCAGTAACACAATAATGTGATATACAAACATAGAAACAAAAAAAATATTAATGTCCCAGTTAAAATTTAAATTGCACACGAGACAAAGAGAAAATAAATATGCCAAATGTAAGCTAGGGATGTATGGCACTTTATCCCTCAGTTAATTCACAGTTAATAAAATGTGCTGCTGTCCCCATTACGGCTCGACACCAAAGGCCTCCATTTACATCATCTCATTGTTAGTCGCCCTGACTAAACGTTGATCACATCCCACACTTTACTTGGCAGGAAATTGGAAAGCAGATCTCTGTAAACACGAAGCCAACAAACCCCAAAGTGAGGTATTTGACGCTAAACTTGTCAGTGACACCAAAAATACACACTTGGTGCTGATTCATTTGTACAATAATTTGCTCTCGTTAAACAAACAGTTGGAGTAAGGCATTTTCTAATACGCGCAAATTTAGCTACATTTTGCCTTTGATGCAAAGCACATAAAGTGATTGATCCTGAATACATGCAGCTTCTCTAATTTCTGCTCAGAGACAGAAACATTGACAGAAAGGTGTAAGGACCCATTGATGTGGTGGGAAAGGAAGGCATCAAACAAACAAACAAACAAAAAGAGGATTAGAGCTACTATCTGTAGGTACAAAGAGGACACAGAGAGGACGACCTGGTCAGGACAGGGCTGAGGAAACCCCGGATGTGAACTGGGCACCCATGATGCCAGGCAACATGACTTGTGACGCCTAAAGTTCTTCTCTCCCTCTGGGTGGAGATGATTATTGCACACGGCGGCAGTAGTAGCCCAGGACTTTACATTTCTCACACAGGTGTTGGGGGTGCTCCTTACTCTGGTCAGACACATCCAGACCATCCGGCTTTTCTAAAGGTCGCTGCAGAAAACAAACAGAGCGCCAATCAATGAGTCATGCTAAAACTTGGAAAAAACAAGCAGCATACTGTAAACCTCTGAGTTTTGCAAGCAGTTGATTTGGCAGCAAGTTTAGCTCTGGTATACGCCAAGCTAATCTGGCCTTCAATTCTACTTAAACCCTTTTCCCAGACCAGACAGGCACTAAACACAATTAGCTTCAGGAATATGGCAGCGCACCGTCAGTTGTGGAAACATTTCAGTCCACTTTACCAACACTACTAAAGAAAACGATCCTTTAGTTAGAATTTGATTGTGATGACCTGTGTGGAAATATCACCACTGGGTTTCTTGGAATCATTATCAGGTACAAAAGGAACATTTCTGAGCCAGCGCAGTTGGAGGTCATTTTAATAGTCCATCTGGAAATTTTTACTTCTATCTTTTTGTTAAATAAATAAATAAATAAATAAATAAATAAATAAATAAATAAACTATTTATTCCGAGTGGTTGAACTGAAGGAAATCAGGTTACCATGGGCCATCACAATATCGGGCGTTCACTAATGAGTCTGCCAGCAAACACTGAGACTTTACAATTACAGTGTCAAAGACATCAGGTCCTTAAAGGGATGCACGATTAGTTGTAACATTAGACTTTATTTGATAAACGTTTATTTTAACTGTAAAATAAAGACTGTAAAAATACTGTAGGATGTTCAGTTTTTATCATTTTTAAACCAAAATTTAAAAAATATATTGCACGGACGGGGCCATTTTATTTGCATGCAAAGCATTCTGGGTAAATGATGACGTGGATAGGTCCTCGGTGTGAGCGAGCTATATCCACCCTGAAGGTTAATCTTAGACAATATCTGACGATCGACTCTTAAATGAAACCAGAGAGCGTTGACAGAGAGGAGAAGGTAGAAATGACTCAGCCTGTAACTGAAAATATGGATGGAGGACAACAGAGCTGCTTCATGGAAGAAGAACCTCAGCTTAGCCTGTTAGCCTTTAGCGTTAGCCCCGACACTATCACCATATATATGTATTAGCTCAACGCTACACATTCTCCTCTCATCACTGAGATGAGAGGAGACACATGACAGAGAGGGGAACACAAAAATGACTCAGGCTGTAACTGAAAATATGGATGGAGGACCTCAGTTTAGCTTGTTTGCTGCACTAGCGCGGAGCTAATACATATAAGACAAAAATATAGCGTGAGGGCTAGCGCTAAGGTTAACAGGCTAAGCTGAGGTTCTTCTTCCATGAAGCAGCTCTGTTGTCCTCCATCCATATTTTCAGTTMCAGGCTGAGTCATTTCTACCTTCTCCTCTCTGTCAACGCTCTCTGGTTTCATTTAAAAGAGTCGATCATCAGATATTGTCCAAGATTAACCTTCAGGGTGGATATAGCTCGCTAGCAGCCTGACCTATCCACATCATCATTTACCCAGAATGCTCTGCGTGTAAATAAAATGGCTCTGTCCGTGTTAAAATACATTTTCATAAATTTACAAAACTAAACAGCCTACAGTATTTTTACAGTCTATATTTTACAGTTAAAATATGTTTATCAAATAAAATCTAATGTTACAACTAATCAGGGATCCCTTTAAGGAAGACTGGAAAATCTGATCTATGTATTCTGGCATCCTCTCAATGGTAACTGTGTTAAAAGGCCCTGTGGTGGAGTTGGGCTATGATGGAACTGAAAAAAGAGCATTTCCACAGAGGTAAAGGTGTGTGTTTTCAGTTTTCTCTGTTCTTTATTTGATTTTTAATATTTAATTGTTATTAGACTCCAAAACATTGCATGATTCACAAATAAAAGCAAAATATAGCTCCTTATTTTGGCTTTGTCTCTCTAAAGTCGCCTTCCCTATGAGCAACCTTTTTCCACATTGGCAGTGTTTCGTGAAGGTTGAGGTGGAAACATCAAAGTGGAGGACCACTGTCTGCTGTGACCACAACTTCCATCCCTAGACCTCGGCCCAAAACTCTAAATCAGAACTGGTAGTGATTCAAATTTTCCAGCACAGAATTGGGAACCCCTTCAAGTCGCCGATAGGGGGAACAGATTTAGCCAAATGAAAGTGAGATTGATTTCCGACTGGGAGATTAGAAATTAGATGATGCAACAACATACGAGCAATTTCCTGTGCAGTATATTTTATACCATACTTTATAATGACAGTGGGCAAAGAGGTTGGTGGTTGTTTTTAACTATATTGGGAAAGGAAAGTATGTTAGGTGGGTGATGTAAGAAAATCTGGTTGCATGTCTGTAGTTCTGACAGAAATAAGTTACTCAGCACTGAATCTAATGGAAATTAATGAGCCAAGCTGAAAAATACTTGATAGCAGTTTTAATGCAGAGAGTTAGTGTTATTCATCTCACAGTGATAGTACTTTACAAATTATTAAGTGAAAAAAAAATTGCATTCACTTGTGTTTGTTGGGTAATGTCCCTTTCCTGATCCAGTTCATGCAAGTGTTAACAGAGTGGGTTCAGATCTGGTGTTCAGAGAACAAGAAGCGCCTCAAGCAGTGGACCTAATTCTGTTTCACAAAGTGGACTTGGAAGAATGTAGAAAAGCGTACATATTAAAAGATGTAGTGTTAGGGATAAATATATCTCCAGTTGATAAACAATGGATTCTTTCTCCATGTTTGTCCTCGACGAGTTCGGAGAAACATCTTCAAAATGAGGCTGAACATTTATTTAGCACGCTTATTGTCATCTCATGAGCGTCGTTTAGAAAGGCACACCATGCTTAAAACGATTTCACGCTTTCTTATTTAACAAGAGAGGAAGTTGTGCAGCTGTACATGCGTCGGTGTCTGCAGAGTAACCACAAGTACCTGTAAACCATTAAAAAAAGGACATTTTTGTTTAGTTTTGATAATAGCATTTAGTAAATAAGACTCTACGTTTATGGGTCAGGAAATGTTACTTGTTTCTTTAATGCTGGTTTATTGCCACATAATCATAAGCAGAGTAAACCTTATTTCATTTTAATGAGGCCATCTGGAGTTTAGTCAAAACAAGATGCAAAAACCAGAGTCTGAATACAGTTAAATTTCACAAACAAGTTAGTGTCAGAAATGGTTTATTTAACAGCCAATCCTTAAAAAATGTTACATTACTCCAGCTGAGGTACCTGTTTGTGTGGATACACGTTGATGTGGCATTTGATACATTCTTGTCCCATGTTGGCCCAGGAGTTTCCACTCATCCACTTCCTCTTACACTTGGGACACTTGTACTCTCCAAAGCATCGTTTTTTCCCCTGGTACGGTGTCAGTCCTTCACCTTTAGGTCTGGCCTACAAAAATAAAATAAAATAGAAAATAAAAAATGTACATATGAGAATGTTATTTAGTTTGCTTAATCAAATATACAATATTTTACACAAGAATGGTGAGTGTTTTTCTATCGATGCAGAGGGACATTTTTAAATCACACTCTTCCACTAAGCTGGACAATAAAAAAAGAGAGAGACAGCAGGGTGTTTCCATCCCTGTCATGCTGATGTATCCAGCTTCATCACACAGTCCACTCCTACACAGTTTTGGCTCAACGTGAGGTTGTGTAAATGTCGTTTACTTCCATTGCAGCTGTGTTAAATTACTCCTCTGATTCTCGTGAGGGGGATGATTACAAACAGTCAGTCGGCCGTGAAAAAAGCATGAGCCTGAGGGTGATACTGTTGAGGAGGTGCCTCCTCTATGACTTCATGTTGGCAACTTTGTTTGGGCCACTTTAATATATGGAAAGGAGACACTCCCCCTGCAAATGAACAAATGCACAGCTGATGTCTCAGTCTGCCAAAACAAACCCAAATTCATCTGGAATTGTAAATTTATCCGAGTGTGTCATTGTCAAGTTTAAAACGGAAAGTCATCCCCGAACGTGTACTCAAGTGATAGCTATCAGAAAATGTAAACGCAGTTTGAAGACACCTTAAAAAGGTTTTTGCACGGATGAAAATCAGATAAGGCAGAAAGAAGTCGTGCACAGCATGCACGCAACTCACCAGAAAGTCAAGACAAAGTGACCACTCTTGACTCCATCTGCAAAATTGTTTTCATAAAAATGTCAACACTGGATGCAGATTTTGGATGGACTAGTTGTGGGGGGAGATTAAATTGAGAAAAAGGGGTAGAGTTTGTATCCCTGGTCTCCCTTTACTCTGCCCCAGCCTGGGCATGAGTAATGGGAACTTAAATCTGATGCATCTGGAGCTTTCCAAACAGACGTCAGCACTGTGCATTAGAACCAGTGAGCCAGGACGAAGTGCGTACAGCCGTGTTTCAATCCAGCACCTCAACAGAATGACCTCAACCCTACTGTCAGCTCTGCATATTCAACTGCGACAGCATGCAGGCTGGAAACACTCACTCCTGCTGAACAAAAACGTATCACACTATATACACTGTGTTGTCTTAATGCAGTCATTTAGTCATCCTGAAGACAATGCCATGGCAACACTTGGTTTGGAAAATCTCCTACAAATGATCTGGTTATTATACAATCCAACTATAAACAGGCTGCCATTTTCACTTAGGAAAACCAAAATAAAGCACATTCTGCAAAGTAACCTGACAGAAACTTAACGATTTTGGGTTGAAACTTTTCAAATGAGTTTAAACTTAACATATTCATTTTTGTTATAATTTCCCAATACAGCTGTTTGTTTCAATGTTTATATATATATATATATATATATATTTAAATCTCCCTGACACTGCAGCCAGGACTCAGCAGGCCAGAAACAGCACTCCTCCATCTCATGACCATTCCTCTCTTGCTTCATGCTGTTTCCAGTGTCCGACCTTGGCCTTTTGGCTGAACATCACACTCTGTCTTCAGCTGAGTGCTTTCAGACTATAGCTGTGTGATCGAACCAAGGGTGCTTTTAACTGAGCGCTGAATATATTGGATGCAAAACTGAGAATAAAAAGATGCAGTACTGACAGATTGGGTATGTTATAGACTGAAACTTGTTTTATTAGTGACTTTCTGTCAATAAAATATAGAGCCTGTGGGAGTGTCCCATTCAGGCAGGTGACTGTCTACAGACACACACAACCGTCTCATTTCAGTAATGACCAAAACAGTTGGCCAGGAGTTAAACAAACAAGCAAAGAGCCACAACCAAACACAACCAATGACAGTCAGAAGCCTGTAATTTACCATGACACAAAAAGCTTGATTCTTGTTGCTACAACACAAGCGGCAGAAGCATGAACCCAATCACCTTGGGTCAGAACAAAACTAAAACATATACTTTACTTTTTTGCTTATCTGCAAAATGTCATTTTTTAAATAATCTACGATGAGAAGGTGCTATTAAAATGTGACAAGCAACCAGAACACAATAAGGAAAATATTTTACACCTATACCAAAAAAACAACTATTGCCACAGTTTATACTTTATTCTTGGAGGTCAGTTTATTTTACAGAAAGAAATTATAATAAAAATGCATAAAAATGCATATTTGATGCAAAACATAAGACATGTTTACTTTTTGTTGGAAACAATGACAAAAATTAAAATTACTGTAAACTGTGCAACAACTGGACTTTTATTCTGAAGTTTGAAGATGTTTCGCTTCCTATCCAGGAGGCTCTCTCAGTGTCCAGTTGTTTTGCTTTTAACTTTTTTCTGTTTCATCATAACCTGGATGACTGAGAATCTTCATCGGCAGTAACCTGTGCAGTTCAATGGTTAGTAAAGATCCCTCTGGGTCAAAGATCACAGCTGTAAATTTACTCCAAAACAAAAGTGGCACAAAGCCTTAGTAATTGAATAAATGAAAATAGGATTAAACAAAGAAACTAAACATGAAACTTTGAACTCTGGATTATACCATTTACAACTGAAATGAATAAAAATCTAATTAAAGCAATAACCTTGTTCATAAAGGTTATCCAAAGATACATGGAGCAGCTAACTTGTAAGCTAAAGTTTTGTTTAAGTTTCACACAATTTCACGAAGCTTTTGTTGACCAACTCACAGATATTAAGATAAACAACAGAAAAGTGGAAACAAAGCGGTGGAAAACTTGTGAATTTCCTGCAAAAACACTGCAGGTTTTTTATTTGGACATTTGCAGCCATAAATCTAAGTATTGCACTTAAAATGTGGTCAGCTGCTATGAGGCCATTGCAACACACACTGCCTCTCTTGGAGGTTTCGGACAACGAGCAAGTTTAGGCCCTGAAGTCACGAACTTTACAGACGCAGCTGGTATTGCGCATTCCAATGGGCTCCCAAACATGTGGGAAACAATGCCACAGTAACATCTGGACCACTGTGCCACCACAGCTGACAGAGAGAGGCTGGGACTGCACAACAAATCAGAACTACAGGCAGCTGCTAATGGAGCCAAGCATCTCAAACACATGAAAGCACCGTCATTCTGTTTATATCGATGCAGGGAGTTACAAATCAAAACTCTTAGCTGAGTAAATGTTTTAGTTGGGCTCGATTTCCTGAAAAAAAATAACCCCTTAAAGCAACATTTACAAACAGTACTCCGATGTACAATGACCAATTTGCTGGAACTGCGTCATCCCACCACGGAGCACTCTGGAGATGGGTCTCGATGGGAAAATCTTTTGTTTCTTTCTTTTCTCTACAAATAAAATACTTCAAGCTTAAGGTAGAAGTTAAATGGACATATCTGAACAATTTAGAGTATTTTATCTCTGTCGAGTGGGAGAGCATTGCAAAACAGTTGTTGATTGGTGTGGCAGAAGGTGGCTAGAATTTCATTTTTTTTACTGTGCTAAGTGTTTGTTTAAGCCTCAAGGCTAGAACCCTGAGTTTAAGTAAGATAAGGGTCAGTAAGTGTATGGAGGACAGCTTACCACAGCTTCCTCTGGTCCAGATAACTATGGGCAATACTAATATCACCCAAATGCATTCACACTTTGGGTCAGTGGACTGTTAATCCGAGCATTTGTACTACACACTCACAGAGGCCGTGTAAACATGGTCACACACGGGCACAAGCTCACGTTCTCCTAATGTCCCCTTCAAAACCTAAACTCACTGAACAAAATCCACATCCACAGGTTTTCGTGCACTCTCGAGACATAATTGGAATGTCTCGGTCCACAGTTTCCGGCATCACTCCCACTCTTTTTCACCCTTCCGCGAGTACACAGGTCATTCCTTGGCTTGTATCGCAGAATTAATGAGCTCGCAAACTACACTAAATAGGATAAACAGAGCTAGGCTAGAGGCAGTAAAACAAACAGGGAGACAAGAATGAGACACGAGATTAAGACTGGGAAGAGTTGGAAATAAACCAGCTTTCTGCTCCTTTAAAATTCTAGGAAAAAGAAATTAAGACTACGCACAAATGCACAATGAGAAAAGGGAAAGATTAACTCAACAAGCACAACCAAACTCCTCAAGTGCGGCAAGGGAAACGGAAGAAAAAGAGAGAGAGAAGGAGGAGGAAATCTAAAACCCAAAGCAGATGGCCTCTATAGGGGCAGAATACTGAGAGATGTCGTAAAAATTGTAGCTCTGCTTTCAATTAGGCCTTACATTTCAGAGACACAGAAAGAAAGAGGTGGGGGGATAAAACAGCGTTAACAAACTGCTGTAGTTCTGGCCACAACTATAGTGGCCTGAACTTATTATGTGAAGGAATGCAGAGAGACAGAAACAGTTGACCAAAGAATATGTTCATGGGTCCAACATGTTCAAATAAAACACCATTAGGAATCTGAAACATGTGCACAATCATATGGTACACCACTGAATTAAAAAAAAGTGTAGAAATGAGTTATCCCAGTCTAGACAACACCCAGGTAATGCTGCAAAACAGATTAAAAAGGCATGCAGTTCAGACATTTGACCCTAAAATTAATCTTGTGCCACAAAACCATCTTGAAGTTTTACTCCACTGTAACTTTTAAAGGCATTTTCTGTGACGGACCACTGGAAAAATGCTGTCCAAACCACTGTCTGAGGCCTAAAGGTGAAGTTGCATCGTTGATGTCATACCAGGCAAAAGGCAATGGCCAGTGGATAGACACTAGACTGCAGACTCCCAGACACTTCTCCAAAAACCAAACCTTTAATGCTCTAGAAACAGGATGGGCTGGCCTTGATTTATTATTAGATGTTTGGTCCAAACCAAAGGGGGATCTTTTTAGAGATTGCTACTTTCAAGGTTTTGGATTATCTTTCATACTTTCACAATATATTGGAGATGACATCTACATTTGTCAGTGTGATCAGTTTATTGGAAGAAATACTCATTAACCTCCTTGTTATATGTATGTGTCTGCACATGTTCTT